AATTCTTGATTGACAATTTTTTTCCCCCATCAGTACTTTAAAGATATCATCTGGGGCTGGCCCGGTGGCGCAGCGGTCAAGTTCACGTGTTCTGCTTCTCGGCTGCCTGGGGTTCGCCGGTTTGGATCTCGGATGCGGACATGGCACCGCTTGGCAAGCCATGCTGTGGTAGGCATCCCACATATAAAGTAGAGGAAGATGGGCACGGATGTTAGCTCAGGGCCAGCCTTCCTCAGCAAAAAGAGGAGGACTGGCAGCAGTTAGCTCAGGGCTAATCTTCCTCAAAAACAAAAAGATATCATCCTACTGATTTCTGATGGTAAATCAGCTGTACCTTAGGATGTTAACTATAATTCCCATGGTAACTACTAACAAAACAATTAGGAAATATACAGAAAAGGAAATGAAGAGGAAATCAAAATGGTACACTAGAAAAAAAAATCAAAAACAAAGGAAGGCAGTATTGGAAGGATTAAGGAACAAAAAAGACATGACATATAGAAAATAACACTATGGCAGAAATCCTTCAGTATCAGTAATCATTTTAAATGTAAATGGATTAAACTCACCAATTAAAAGACAGAGATTGATGATGGTGCACAACATTATGAATATACTTAAAGCCACTGAATTGTATATTTAAAAATAGTTAAAATGGTAAATTTTATGTATATTTTACCACACACAAAAAAAGACAGATTGGTAGAATGGATTTAAAAATGATCTCACAGGACTTAAATAGACATTTCTCCAAGAAGATATACAAATGGCCAGTAAGTACATGAAAAGATGTTCAACATCACTAATCATTAGGCTAATGCAAATCAAAACCATAATGAGATACCACTTCACACACATTAGGATGGCTATTATTTAAATAAAACAGAAAATAACAAATGTTGGTGAAGATATAGAGAAATTGGAATTCTCGTCTACTGCTGGTGGGAATATAAAATGGTACAGCCACTACAGAAAACAGTAGGCTGGTTCCCCCAAAAAATTAAGAATAGAATTACCATATGACCCAGCAATTCCAGTTCTGGGTATATGCCCCAAAGAACTGAAAGCAGGGGTTCAGACAGATATTTGTACACTCATGTTCACAGCAGCATTCTTCACAACAGCCAAAAAGTGGAAACAACCTGAGTGCCCATCAACAGATAAACGGATAAACAAAATATGCTATATACCTACAATGGAATATTATTCAGCCTTAAAAGGAATGAAATTTTGATACGTCTACGACATGGATGAGCCTTGAAGACATTATGCTAAGTGAAATACAGGCATGCCTTATCTTAGTGCACTTGGCAGATAACTGAGTTTTCTACAAGACCCTCCACCAGCACACAGATTATGACTTGCTGAAGGCTCAGGTGATGGTTAGTATTTTTTAGCAATGAAGTATTTTTTAATTAAGGTATGTGCATTGTTTTTTCAGACATAATGCTATTGTACACTTAATAGACTACAATATAATATCAACTTTTTTTGAGGTAACATTGGTTTATAACATTATATAAATTTTAGGTGTACATTATTACATTTCGATTTCTTTTTAGACTACATCATGTTCACTACCCAAAGACTAACTACCATCCGTCACTGTACACATAAACAGTTTTTACAGGCACTGGGAAACCAAAACATTTGTGTGACTTGCTTTATCGCACTATTTGCTTTATTGCGGTGGTCTGGAACTGAACCTGTAACATCTCCTCGGTATGCTTGTAAACCAGTCACAAAAGGACAAATGCGGTGTGATGTCACTTACATGAGGTGCCTAGAGTGGTGACATCCACAGAGACAGAAAGTTGGATGGTAGTTGCCAAGGCATGGGGAGAAGTGAGGGGTTACTGTTTAATGGGTATGGAGTTTCAGTTTGGGAAAATGAAAAAGGTTCTGGAGATGGATGGTGGTGATGGTTGGACAACAGTGTAGTTAATGCCATTGAACTGTACACTTAAAAATGGTTAAAAATGTGAGAAAAAATCCAAATATATGCTGCTTGCAATATACCCATTTTAGACCCAAAGACACAAGTAAGTTGAAAGTGAAAGGATGGAAAAAGATATTCCACACAAAAAGTAACTAAAAGAGAGCTTGCGTGGCTATACTAATATCAGACAAACTAGATTTTCAGTAAAAAACTGTTATAAGAGATAAAGAAGGACATTTTATATTGATAAAAGGGTCGATTCATGAAGAAGCTATAACAATTATATATGCACCAACAGGGTACCAAAACATGTGGAGCAGACGCTGACAGAACTGGAGGGAGAGACACACGGTTCTACAGGAATAGCTGCAGACTCCACACGCCACTGTCAGTAATGGACACAACACCCTATCCAGAAGACCGATAAGGAAAGAAGAGCGCTGGAAAACGCTACAAACGAACTAGACCCAGACACACACAACACTCCTCCCAACGACAGAATAGACATTGTTCCTAAGTACACAGGGAACATTCCCCAGGACAGACCATATGCTAGCCACAAAAGAAATCTTAATAAATTAAAAAACCTCTCAACAAAGAAAAGCCCAGGAACAGATGGCTTCACTGGTGAATTCTATGAAACATCTAAAGGAGAGTTAACACAAGTCCTCCTCAAACCATTCCAAAAAATTGAAGAGGAAGGAACACTTCCGAACTCATCCCAGCTCAGTATTGCCCTGATACCAAAGCCAGACAAAGACACAAAAGAAAAGAGAATTACAGGTCAATGTCTCTTATTAATATAGATGTTAGGTCATAAAAGAATTCTCCATAAATTTAAATTTAAAAAGGATTGAAATCATACAAAGTATCTTCTCTGACCACATGGAACAAAGCTAGAAATCAATAACAGAAAGAAAACTGGAAAATTAGCAAATATGCAGAAAGTAACACTCTAAAAAACCAATGGGTCAAAGAAGAAACCACTAGGGAAATTAGAAAATATATATATATATATTTTTTTTTTTTTTGAGGAAGATTAGCCCTGAGCTAACATCTGCTGCCAATCCTCCTCTTTCTGCTGAGGAAGACTGGCCCTGAGCTAACATCTGTGCCCATCATCCTCTACTTTATATGTGGGACGCCTGCCACAGCACGGCTTGCCAAGTGGTGACATGTCCGCGCCTGGGATCTGAACTGGGAACCCCAGGCTGCTGATGCAGAACATGTGCACTTAACCGCTGTGCCACCGGGCCAGCCCCAGAAAATACTGAGACAAAGGAACACATACCAAAATTTAAGGGATGTAGTAAAAGCAGTACTCAGAATGAAATTTATAACTGTAAATGCCTACATGAAAATAGAAGATCTCAAATCAACAACCTAACTTTACACCTTAAGGAACTAGAAGAAGAAGAGCAAACTATACCTAAAGCCAGCAGAAAGGCAGGACATAATAAAGATTAGGGCACAGGTAAATGAAATAGAGAATTAAAAAACAAAACAGAACAGTAAAAATCAACGAAACCAAAAGTTGGTTCTTTGAAAAGAACAAAATTGACAAAACTTTAGTTAGATTGACTAAAAAAATTAAAGAGGCAAATAACTAAAATCAGAAATGAAAGTGGAAACATTACTCCTGACTTAATGGAAATTAAAAAGATTATAAAAGAATGCTATGAACAATTGTATGCCAACAAGATAATCTGGATGAAACAGACAAATTCCTAAAAAAACACCAATTATCAAAATGGGCTTAAGAAGAAATAGAAACTCTCAACAGACCTATAATAAGTAAGGAGATTGAATCAGTAAACAAAAACCTCCCAAGAAAGCAAGTAAATGCCCATCAAATGATGATTGGATAAAGAAGATGTGGTGTATATATACAACGGAATACTACTCAGCCATAAAAAATGACAAAATCGTCCCATTCACAACAACATGGATGGACCTTGAGGATATTATGTTAAGCGAAATAAGCCAGACAGAGAAAGACAAACACTAGGATTTCACTCATATGTGGAAGATAAACTAACACATGGACAAAGAGAACTGTTCAGTGGTTACCAGAGGAAGGGGGGTGGGGGTGGGCACAAAGGGTGAAGGGGCACAGCTATATGGAGACTGACAAAAATAATGTACAACTGAAATTTCACAATGTTGTAAACTATCATAACCTCAATAAAAAGTAAATAAATCAAAAGTTTTTTTTAAAACCTCCCAACAAAGAAAACTCCAGGACTAGATGGCTTCACCAGCCAGTTCTACCAAATATTTGAAGAATTAACATCAATCCTATTCCAACTATTCCAAAAAACAAGAGGAAGGGAACACTTTCTAACATGCCAGAGAAAGATTCTGTAAGAAAACTAATATTCCTTATGAATACAGATACAAAAATCCTCAATAAAATACTAGGAAACCAAATCCAATCGCACATCAAAAAGGATTATGCACCAGGACCAAATGGGATTTATCCTAGGAATGCAAGGGCGTTCCAACATAGGAAAATCAATGTCATATACCACATCAATAGGACAAAGGAAAACAACCAGACAGTCATTTCAATAGATGCAGAAAAACACCTGACAAAAATTCAACACTCTTTCATGATAAAAACAACTCAGCAAACTAAAACTAGAAGGATAGGCTTTTCAGCAAATGGTGCTGGAACAACTGGACGTCTACATGCAAAAATTATCAACTTGAATCCATACCTTGCAACATATATAAAATTTATGATGTATGATTCTATTTATACAAAGCTCTAGAAAATGCAACAAACCTATAGTAACAGAAAGTAGACTGGTGTTTGCTTGGGGATGGAGGTGTGAGGGTCAGGAGAGAGCGATCCCAAAGAAGCACAAAAAACCTTTCGGGGGTGATGGATAGGTCCATTACCCAGGTTGTGACAGTTTCACATGAACACGTATGTCAAGGCTTGTCGAACTGTACACTTTAAATATGTGCAGCTTATTGTATGTCAATTATATCTCAATAAAGCTGTTTTAAAAAATGTGGTGAATAAAGAATGCCTTAAAAAAATAATGGAGCAAATTAAATTTAAAAAAAATAATAATGGAGCACCTAGGGAGTGCTTAGTGCATATTTATTTTATAAATGAGTTAATGGAGTTAATGACAGGTGAGTCAATGGGCCAATGCCCAGGGATTGGGAAGGGGTGACACACTAAGAAAGAGGATCCAAGACTGCAGCAGAATCTTCTTGGCCACCATCATGTTGCCCGGGCTCACCCTTGCCAGGCTGCCCCAAAGTGCCCTGACCCCACTACTCACTACTCTTGTGGCTTCAAGTAAGTCACCCAACATGGTGGCATCTCAGAGTCCCGAACTCCACAATGTAACTAATAATATCCACCTCATAAATAAGATGATTGTTGACTGAAAGAAACAACATATATGGGATAAATATTAGATCCATAATAAAGGGACTATTTCTGATTGCAAAAACACATTACTATCAAAAGTTGGAAAATATACAAAATGACAAAGAAGAAAATTAAATTACTCATAATCCCAGCTTCAGAGGGTGCTTCCTTCCAGGTTTTTCCTTCCACAGGCTCACGTGTTTTCTGAAGCTCCTTGGCATTCTGCACGCAGCCAGTCTTCCCGCCTCCAGCCTTGACTCCAGCCGTCCTTCTCACTCCCAGAAGCCCACTGTTCCCTTTCAGGAGAGCAGCGCAGGGGCCAGTCCAGGAGGGAGGAGTCCAGGGGAAGCTTTTAAGGAGATACTGGCCAGTGGAGCCGGGTCTGCCTTGGCCCCCACGCCAAACTGGGATAAAGGTCAGCCGGGTTGAGGCAGTGGGGGACCCCACAGTCCCCACCCCTGCTGTTGTGACATCACTGGCGGTCTGAAGAGGTGGGCCATGGAGCCCAGGGCCATCAAGGATTCCAGCAGCAGGGCCCCTCCCCGTCCCTGCCTCCGCCAGCCCTGCGCCTGCCGTGATGGTGCCCAGGTTCCTCTCTGGTGCTCCCACCCCAGGCCCCCTAACTGCAGGGGTCCCCCTCCACACAGGTGATTTCTCTATAACTAACAGGAGGTTCACCCTCCTTCCAAAGCCAGGCAGGGCCATGCTGGCAGGTGCGGGCGCCATGCTGGGCCTGCATATCCAGAGGGCATAAGTGAGGAGGGTCCTGAGGGAAGGGGTGGTCAGAGGGAACTCCTGACGGGCCAGCCCCCGACAGCACCAGAGGCCTGCCTGGCAAGGGATTTGCTTCCCTCTAGCTGTCCCTCACCCTCCGAACCTGTTCCACACCCAGCCCGTTTTTCTGTTGTCCTGCAGTCTCCTCCAGGCTTCAGCTCCCTCCACAACGAGGTGGGGATCAAAGTACCTGCCGCTCAGGGGAAATGTGAAGGTCAGGGGCCTGCCCTCTGGCCCTGTACAGGTAGTAGGTGTTCAAGGAATTGTCTCAACTGATGGGAGAGTACTTTGTAAAGTGGAAAGCACCAGTTAAATATGACCTGTTATCACTGGTCCGCTCCAATCTCTCACATCACGTACCCCCAGGTAGAACCAATTCCCCTTGACTCCACCCCGAAACTGCAAATCTCAGGACTGCCCCTTCCTTCTGCAGTCTCAGCCCCAATCTTCCCTTGCCCGCAGGAAGTGACCAGCCTGCCAGCAGCTCCTGCTCTAGGCCTGGGAAGGCTCACAGGATTCTGGGCCGAAAGATAAGGGGAGTAGCAGGAACTAGGGGTTTCCTCTTCCTGAAAAAACATCTTCCCCTCTAACCCCCAGACTCGAGGCAGGAAGAAAAGGCCAGGGCAGGGGCCTCAGAGGAGAGGCTTCTGTCGGGTTTCTTCTGATTGGTCACTGCCGTGCTGGCTGCACATTACCCTCACCCCAAAGGGAAGAGACTCTACTATGGCGCTCCCCTGTCCCTCCTACTCCAAGCTTCTCCCTCCCCAGATCCCTGAGGACGGCTCTGCATTTGTTTGCAGGTTTGGGGGAAAGTGAAGGGGTGTGTGTGGGGGGGGGTGAAGAGGACAGGACACTGGGCATACATGTCTTGTGCTGTGGATATTCCCAAAATGCCATTTGGCTCTTTGTTTCCTCCAACCTCCATTTCCTAGGTAACTGCTCTGAACCACTTAGCTGGATACCAAGAACAGAGATACTGGGGCATGTACAGCAGTAACAGAGCCCTGCCTAGGGGAGAGGACCTCTCTCTTTCCCAAAAGGAGGGCGCAGCAGCACATGCGAATTGTGAAGCAGTGCGATGGCGTGTGACGCATCTGGAGAACTGCAAAAAGTTCTCTGGGGCGAGGGGAAAAGAAGGGCAAGGCAGGCAGCAAAAAATGAGTCTGCAGAAGTGCGCAGGGGCCAACTCACAAAAGATAATGGGTACTAATCTAAGGAGCTGGAACTTTACTCTGAAAGCTATGGGTAGGTGGAGAACCAGAAGTGTTGCCAGGGACACCGTGGGGGACGGGGGTCAGTGAAGTCAGATGAGAAGACAAGTGCCTTTGCACTTGTCAAGGTGGCAGTCCCCAGCCACTGATGGGAGCACTGGAGGCTCAGGGAAGGGAAGGCATGAACCTGTGGCAACCCCACGGTAAGTACATGGTGTTCTCTGGGCAGGCTCAGCTCTTGTATAGGAGAGGATAGGAATGGATGGGCGAATTCAGGGTTGGGATTCTGTAGAAAGACTGCAGGGCAAAGCTATCAGGTCAAGAAAGATTGAGTACATAATGGCGAACAAGTGTGTGATGAAGTGATGGGCACGAGGTTAGACCTGGCACTGGCTGGCTGAGTTTGGTGGCCAGAGCAGGATAAGCATTTTTAAAAAGATATTTTCATGTTAACATGGACAGAGGAGCTGGCTATTTACAGTACGGCTAGAGATCTGTATTCTTCGCTTAGGGTTCCAAACTAGAACACTGGTGAAAAGGAAGTCACTTCCTCTGCCTCCCCTGCAACCCTTCTTATGAGGTGTTTGGGGAGCAGATGCAAATCCAGCCTCCATTCACCACCTCCCTGTCTTCAGTTTCTGCTTTGTGGGGTCCATCTTACCCTCTAAAGTGACCAGGAGAGAGAAGTACCAAGCAGGTGAGAGGGCAGGTTCTGGCATCAGACCCCTCAGGTTTGCCTACAGTTCTTCCATTTATTACCCGTGTAACCTTGGAGATATTACTTATCTTCTGTATTTTCTTCTAAAAGTTTTGTGACTCATTTTGCACATTTGTGAATTTATTTTCATGTATGGTGTGAGGTAGGGATCTAATTTTATCCCTTTCCATTTGGCTAGTCAATTGTCCCAATGCTATTTACCCCACCCTTTCTCCATTCAGATGCACATTTCCTCTGGCTCTTACCATATTCCCACATACCATAGGTCTACTTCTTGGTCCCCTGTTCTATTCAATTTCCTAATTTATTTCTATCTATCTGTTCTCATTTATTACATTGTTTTAGTTACTACATCTTTATGGTAAGGCTTGATACTGATAGAACACAGGACTTCCCTCGTAGTCCTGTGTTTTTCAAAATAGCCTTAGACATCTTTGGCACTTTAGCCTATGATTTTTAGAATTAGTTTGTCCAGTTCCTTTAAAAAGTAGCTTGTTTCCTTAAGCCTCCAGTTCTTTCACCATACAATGGTGATGATCACAGGTCCTATGCATCACAGGACTGCAAAGACTAAATGTAAGCAATGAACACTCTGTCCGGAGTTAAGGCCTCAAACACGAGGGGCAGTCAGTAGATAGTAGTATCATCTTCCCCAAATGCCCAACCTGATGCAGTCATTGCTCTGTTTTAAAATCTTTGTCGGCTTCCCAGTCATGCAGAGTAAAGTTCGAACAGCCTGCCAAGCCACCTGACCCCAGCTGACCTTTCCCGTGGCACCTCCTGCTTCTCCCTCCTCCCTGCTCACCATCACTATCACGTTCCAGCCCCAGTAAACTCGCTGTTACCGGAGCACAGCGCCCTGCCTTGCACATGCTGTCCCCTTGGCCGAGAATTCCTTCCTCCTCATGAATCCTCTCAGATGATGGCTCCTCTGGGAAGGAGTTTGTCACTCCCTCGGCCTTCTTTTATTCCATTTGTCACTTTGCATTGTGATTATTTGTATCTGCCGTGACTTATTTGTCTTATTTAGTGAATTTAGCACAGCTCTTGGCATTTCCCAAACAGGTGTCACTCACAGTCACCATTTAATGAGCACACACCAACTTTGGCATTGCATACACTCCTTCACCTATTTAACGCTCACAATCACTCCACAAAGTCGACTTCTTCCTCACTGAACAGGAGGGAACACGGATGGTAACTTCTCCTAGATCACGGAGCTCGCCAACAGCTGAGCTGAGACCTGAACACCGGTCTAATTCCAGCGCTCACACCTTCTCTTGTAGTAGGCAGCCTTGTGACGAATGACTGAATCCTTCACTCCATCCCACCTTTCCATGGTCCTCCTGCCCAAGGTGTCTCCAACATCGTCCCCTCTCATGCCACCCCCCAATGGCTTACCTCCCAAGCTGTCATCTCTCCCGTTTCATGCCATCTGTCACCCAAGCAGACGCCTTTGTGAGGACTGCATGTCCTGGGTTTAGCATGTTGCTGGTATTCAGGACACAGAACATGGAGCCTCATGGCTTCATCCTCAGATTCTGAGATGTTAGCTGGGTATCACAAGACCAAGGAGATAAAATAAACCTTCCACACCCCAAATGTGTCCAGACGTGAAACCAGAAAGCAAACAAGTCCATGGTTTATAACACCAGGTTTTCTGGGCATGATTATCAGGTCTCCGGAGAGGATGGAAGCCAGCCTGACTGGGGGATGAGCAGGAACTCTGCCAACTCAATCTGGCTTGGATGGTCAGAGCTGCCACCCAGTGTAACAAAGGGCAAAGGAAGTGCCATGCACATTGTCCCCGGTGCTGGTTTCAGCAATGTCAGAGCTACACTGACGTCCTTTGGGCTAATTTCCCCTCATCACTTGTGCTCAAAGGGTGGGGCGCCTCTTCAGATTTCTCTCTCTTGCCACAAATCCTGCAGGCTATTGGGACACTGGGCTGCAGCAAGATAATACCAGAGTTTGCATCTACCCTCTGAGAATAAAGATCAACACACAGTAAATGTGATGGTGACGGGCCCCCTGTGGAATGGCCCACCACAATCTGACATGGTGAGTGGGGAGTTCTGGAACCCCCGATCCCAATTAGAGGCAGCCATTTGGTGGTTTCCAGACTATATCATTTGCATCAGCATTCATAAGCTCATAGCCTCATTACGCACAGCACACTACATCTGACAAAAGGAAGGATCCTTTGATAGGGAAAGGAGGGGTGATCATCATAAAATGGACAAAGGAGGCCTGCAGAACCACAATTTTAGGGAGAAAGGTTGCTTTGATCAGCTGATAGGGCATGTGCCCTGTGGGAATGAAGTCATCAGGCTATTATTGTTCAGTAACCAACTTTCTGCCTATTTTTGGCTATCTACACTGACAGATGGTGCATTAACCAGGTAACTTGGTTTGACATTTATCATTATATAGACGAGCCAACTGTCATCCAGGCACTTGTGAGTTAGGTCTGTGCGAGTCTCATCCTGGTAGTGACTCCCTGGGTACACTGACCACAAAACTTGGCCAGTGGTGATGCCACCAGAGTCCCGGAGAGGCCGGACTGACTCAATGGAGGGACACGTTTATGTGATTGTGATATGCTGTTTATTCTCGCTTCTATATCCCTCTCTTCATCCCCAGATCCACTCCCTGGGTCTGTATGGCTTCACATACAGTATCACAAGCTTCCAGACCGCTTCTCTCCAACCTCCCTGCTGCCTCCTCGTCGAACACAGCTGATGTTACACAACTGCACTGTTCCAGAATGCTTCACAGGGATGAAGCCAAACTCCTTGGCCTGGCTTTTGTGGTCTTGCATAATTGGGCCTCTATATGCTTTATTTTTCATTACAGGTCAAATGCTCTTCATCTTCAGGCTTGGGGTACACAGCTCACTTAAGGTGGCTCTCTCACTGATGACACTCTGCCTCCGAGTCCTGCACCTACATGTCTTCAGAAAGTGGCTCCAGCCCTTTCTGACTCCTGCTGCCCTGCAGGAAAGCAACTTCTTGCTGTGCTTCCCTGCTGTCTTGATGCGGCTCAAGTGCTGGCAAGAGGGAAAAACACGCTCATTCTCGCTGCCTGCCACGGGCCTCCCCACTTCATTCCTCACTTGAATTCCCAGAACAGCAAATATTCCATGGGGCCACCTGT